GAAAGAAGAGGAAGAAAAAAAAAGGAAAAGAGGATGAGCGAAATTATTTTGTTTTATTTTTTAAAAATATAAATAATAATAATATGACTTGGCATAAACAAAATTCCACGTTTAACATATTTTTAGTTTGTTTTTGCCACGTCATCAAAAAATTATAAAAAATGCCACGTAAGCGAGTTAACGATCGAAATTAACAGAAAGACTAACGGAGTGCATTTCGTATAGTTGAGGGATCAAAAAAGTGCAAAAAATTGTTAAGGGACCAAAAATGTGCAAACCACTAAAGTTGAGGGACCAAATCTAGCATTTAACCTTAAACTTTTACATATTTTAAGTCATTATTTTAAGTAATTACTCTAAACACATTTTATTTTTTTATAAATGTATTTAATTTAAATGGTGAAATATATTTTTGCATTATTTGGTAATATTATGTAATTATTAAATAAAGTAATTTTTTTTCTTCAGCTGGTTACAGATTTTTGGCAGTCAACAGGTATACAGACCGATCCCAGTCCGTATATAGGTATACGAACCGGCATCGGTCTGTATATAATATACGGACCGAAATCGGTCCGTATATTACCTCACAGCAGCTTTCCTACCCTGGTTTCATTTCCGATATATACGGCTTTATATTCAGACCGATATCGGTCTGTATATATGTATACAGACTGGGATCGGTTCGTATATGTCCCTGAACAACAGCTTTTCATTTTATTTTTTATTTGATTATTAAATCATTCTACTCTCATTTAAAACCGTAACATTCCGAATGTTTGCAAACCAAAGTGGTTAACCTAAAAAAAAATAATTAATTTTATTTCCTTATGACTTCGAAAGAGCATTACATAACATTATCTCTAATGACCTTTAACTTATACGTTCGTGGTTTTTTGCAATGATATTACACCGTAGTATCGTAAGATAATTTCAGCTAGACAATCGATGGTTTTGTGATTCCGAGGGACTGTAGGGTCGATGTACATGCAATTGGTTTTCGCTGGAATGAATTTAGAACACGAGAAGATGGTAATGTCCTTAAATGAAAAGAATAAAAATGTGCACTGGAAGAAGTTTCTGGATTTTTTCTACTATATTCGAACCAATATCGGTCTGAAAAATGAAAAGCATGGAAGCATCTAGATTCTTTGTATATATTCAGACCAATAACGGTCCGTATATATTCATACTTAATTTAATTTATCTTTAAGATAAAAAAATCCCACGGATTGCCTATATTCAGACCGATACCGGTCCGTATATCCCAATGAACAACAGCTTTTCATTTTATTTTTTATTTCATTATTAAATCGTTCTACTCTCGTTTAAAACCATAACATTCCGAATGTTTGCAAGCCAAAGTGGTTAACCTTAAGAAAAAAAATAAATTTTATTTGCTTATTACTCCGAAAGAGCATTACGTAACATTATCTCTAATAACCTTTAACTTATACGTTCGTGATTATACAATGATATTACTCCATAGTATCGAAAGATAATTTCAGCTAGACAATCGATGGTTTTGTGATTCCAAGGGACTGTAGGGTCGATGTACATGCAATTGGTTTTCGCTGGAATGAATTTAGAACACGAGAAGATGGTAATGTCCTTCAATGAAAAGAATAAAAATGTGGAAGATTTTTTACGAATATATTCGGACCGAAATCGGTCCGTAATTAATTTATGCGCCAAATTTTTACCGTTAATTTGAATCTTATCGATTCTGCGCCAATTTATTTATATTCAGACCGATTTCGGTCTGAATATGATTAATGCGCCAAAAATTTTTCGAAAAAATTGAAATTTTTCGGTGTGGCGCGCCAATGAAGATTATACGGACCGATTTCGGTC